TTATCATTAGTATTCATTTATTTGTGACAGTATTTATTCTACCTACACCATGCACCATGCTGTTAAAGACAATTACAGGAGCCTAGTTCCAATTTTTATATACAGTGCAATACACAAACAGGTGCCTTTTCCACCACTGCCTTGATCTTGAAGGCCTGTGGTCATTTCTTGTCTAGAAGCACTCCTTCAGCCTTTGAACCTCCCATCACTGAGGTCCCCAGACACTAGATATGACTTCAAAGCCTAGCATGCTACCAATCTGAGGATTTTTTATGGCAAAGAATCTCTCAGCCCCCAGGAGTGACCTTGGGAGGAGCCCCTACTCAAGGGAGATCCTGGTGTGCAGCCTGCTGGCGTGCAGGAGAGCTCAGCAGACCCCGGGCTATCTGCTGTTTATAAAGTGAGATGATTCATTTGTATTTGCATACCAACAAGACATCTAGATCACTGATCCAGACTGCCCCTAGCTACCATGCTGCCATCCACCCCCAAAGTCCAGAGTAAGCTGGATATGTGGCAATCACCACCCCCACTGATGGTTATGGCTTGAGCAGGACAGTGGAAGGCACACCATTGCTGTCTCTCTTCCTGGAGCTGTTCCAAGGATGAATGGGGTAATTACAGTTTCAATGTCCAACTGAGACTCAGCAAATGAGAGATGATGAATGTGTGGGCCAACATCTAAGGAACAAGGAACCCTCAAGAGAGCGGGAAGATCTGAATGTTTTATTGTAATCAATATTTCTTATGAAATAGTATGAAAGCTATTTGAGAAATGGCTGGAATTTGTCTGCTGTTGAGAACAATATGCTAATAGTCCAGGGGAAAAAAGCCATTCAGAATCACAGATCCACCAGAGTCATATTGCTGTGGTTTAGCCCCAGATGGCAATTGAGTCCCACACAGGTGCTTTCCTGCTCCTGCCCTCCTCCAGCACAATGAGGGAGAGAATTGCAAGACAAAAAGTGAAAAAATTCATGGATTTAGATAAAAAGCTGTTCAAGAGGTAAGGGCAAGCAAAGCCAAACGAGGAATTCACTCCCCACTTCCCATGGGAAGGCAGGTTTTCGGCCAACCCCAGGAAAGGGGATCACACATAACAGCTCCTGGGAAAGACAAAGGCAGAGTACTTTCTGATCCAAGTCCATAGACACATGTCACAAAATTGATCACAGTGCATAAAAAATTTGACTTCCAGTGATAATGAAAATTTATGAAAACTAGATATTTTAAAAATCAGTAGTAAAAAAATCAGTTGAGTTGAACACCCATCTAGGTCTGAGTAAATATATTTTAGTACAGTCCTGATTACTTAATGCCATTTAATTCAGTGAACTTTACTTAATTTTTTACTGACCTAAGATGTAATGAACTTACATAAGTGATTCTGAAACACATTTTGTTCCTGACTATACTGGTATAAATCAAGATCAACTTCAGAGAATTCAACACCAAGATCAACTTTAGAGAAGTCAGCATCAAATTTATGAAGCTGTTATTAAGAGCAAATTCCTTTTCATTTGTTGCCATCATTCACCATTTAATGTTTTGATGTCATTTACATGCAGAGCTGAGACACTAGGAAGATGTTCATCACCTTCATTTACAATTATATATATAATTACCTTTGCTTAGAGTTCCAGATGAATAGCATGGTTGAATTAAATTTCTTCATAATGAGATAGACATGTTTAAATCTCCAAAAAGTTTAATGTCATCTGTAGTTTACTGTCAAAATACATGACGCATAGAAGTTCAATCATTTTGTTTTCCAGGTTATACATAGCTTTCAGGATCTTTGTGAATCCTGAATAAATCCTTTACTGCTCTATGAGGCTGCAAGCAATCTGGTACAAACATTTATAGAAAAAAAAAATCATATTTACAGGGAATATTCTCAAAAATTCTGTGAAGATCAGTGCTGTCCTTATCCTCTAAAGTATAAGGATGGAAGACTGAAGGTCTCTGAGTGGTCATTGCACTTCAGCTCCTCCTTTGAGTGGTGACTTCCTTGTGGGTTCTCATTCATAAATTAAGTTGAATCTTTAAGTCACCTATAACAAGAGAAAGCTTCATTCCAGCTTCTCATTCCTCACCCCTTATGGGTTAAATTCACACCTATTCAGTTATCTCCAGTTATTCTAGTGCTTAAATTGTCCTTCAGCTTAACCTGTTTTCTTCATCTCCGATGTTTGTCTTGTGAGACATTCATAGTGAACAATCCTCTCCTCTCTCAGTCTTAGCTTTACTTGGTTAAACATCACAGTTTTCTAGTCCCTAAAACAGGTTTTCTCTTCCCTTCATAATTTTATTTGCTCTTCTCTTTACCTCCTCTTTGAATTTAGCAGCCATGGACACTTGCTCTGGATGTATTCTCACTAATAATTTGTACAGTAGTATCAATATTTCTCTGCTGGCTCTCAAACTATTTTGCCTGTTAAGAGTCTGAAACTACATTTGATTTTTAAAAGTAGCTTGCTTTCAAAAGACAGAGTTTAGTCTTTTGTAACTGCATTCCCCCATGTTGGAACACACATTGTAGAACAATCTATGATAATTAATGATTAATATATATTATATTAATATATAATTAATATTAATAATCTAATCTTTTTAATCTATGATTAAAAAGTAATAGATCTGAAACTGTATTATCATGTATTTAAACTTACGTAGTGCATGATTTTTTTTAAGAGATTCTTTTTAGCAGGACTATAATGTACTTAAATAAGGTGTTTATTAGCACTGAGACAAAATTTGCTCAACAAACTTGACAGAGCATGTAGTGAGTGTCCAGCCTCAGACAAAATTTTAAGTGGACTAGTTTTATGATTTTTTGAACAAATATTTTATGATATTGCTCTTTTCCATATGGTTTCAGCACTTCTGCCAGCTACAGTACTTTGGATCAAAGAATTGCAGCATTTTTTAATAATTAACTTTAATAATTTTTTATTAACTTTTTAATAATTAACCTTAAAGGAAGTTTGAGCAATTATGATGATTTGCATTGTCTCAAATATTGTTCATATGTAAAACATTTTTGCTACTCTATTTAAATCTATTTAAAACTGTATTAATGCTTTACTCTGTGTGATCTCATTAAGGGCTCTCTGGCCAAGCTGGCAGAGAAAAACACTTGGTGCTGAGTGCTCAGAATCCACAGTGACATTACAAATGGGGTTAACTTTGGACTGGAAACATGGCAGGATGACTTGCACAACTGGAATCCTACAATGGGTGGCTATAAATAGGGTTGAGTATTTATGGATAACAATCAGGGGAAGCAAGGCAGATATCCCCCTGGGACTCTGTTATAGACTGCCCAACCAGGATGAAAAGACAGATGAAATACTCTATGGGCAACTGGGAAAAAAATGTCACCGATCCCTAGGCTTGGTTCTCATTGGGGACTTCAGCTTATTAAATGTCTGCTGGAAGTACAAGACAGCAGAGAGAAAGCAGTCTAGGAAGTTCCTGGAGTGTGGCAGACAACTTCCTGACAGCTGGTGAGTGAACCAACTCGGGAAGGTGTCCTGCTGGACCTGTGTGTGAACAGGTTATGTGACAGTTGGAGGCTGTCTTGGACACAGTGATCATCAAATGATAGACTTCTTCCAGGCAGCTGACCTTGTCCTGTTTATGAGACTGGCTGACAGAGTCCTTTGGGAGGCAATCTTGAAGGGCAAAGGTGTCCAGGAAGGCTAGACATGCATTAAGAAGGATATTTTAAAGGTACAGGATCAGGTTGTCCACACGTTCCAAAAGTTGAGACAGTGAGTAAGACCAACCTGTCTTAACAAAGAACTTTGGCTAGAACTCAGGGAAAAAGTTTATAACAGTTGGATAAAGGGGCAGACAACTCAGAAAGAGTACAGAGATGTTGTAAGGTTGTGGTGGACCAAAGCCCAGCTAGAATTTAATCTAGCTGCTGCTGTAAAGGAAAACAATTTTTTTTTTTTTTAATAATAGATCATCAGCAAAAGGAGATCTACAGAGAATTTCCATCCTTTATTGGATGAAGGGAAAAACCCAGTGACAAAGGATGGGGAAAAGGTTGAGGTTCTTTATGCCTTCTTTGCCTCAGTTTTTAATAGGAAAACCAATTGTTTTCAGATTCTCAGCCCCCTGACCTGACAACAGGGACAGAAGGTAGAAACAGGGAACATGATGAAACCCAAATAATCCAAGAGAAAATAGTCAGCACCCTGTTGCTCTGCTTAGACACGCACAAGTCTATGGGTCCGGATGGAATCCACCCAAAGGTACTGAGAGAGCTGAGGGAACAGCTCAACCAAGCCACTTTTAATCATTTACCAGGAGTCCTGAGTCACCAGCGAGATCCCAACTGACTGGAAGTCAACAAATATGATGCCCACTTACAGGAGATGTTGGAAGGAGGATCCAGAGAACTATGAGCCTGTCAGCCTGACCTTGGTGCCAGGAAGGGCCATGGAGCAGATCATCCTGAGTGCCATCACATGGCAGATACAGGACAACCAGAGGGTCAGGCCCAGCCAGTGCAGGTTTGTGAAAGACAGGTCCTGCCTGAGCAGCCAGGTCTCCTTATGAGAGGGTGACCCATTTAGTAGATGAGGGAAAGGATGTTGTCTGCCAGGACTTTAGTAAAGCTTTTGATAGCATTTCCTGGAGGAAGTGGCCTCAAGTTGTGCCAGGGGAAGGCTAGATTGCATATTATGAAAAAATTGCTTCACTGAAGCAAGTCGAGGCAGTGGAACAGGCTGCCCAGGGAAGTGGTGGAATTCCTGGAAAAGCTCTTAAAGACAGGTAGATGTGGCACTTAGGGACACGGTTTAGTAATGAGCATGGCACTGCTGGGCTAATGGTTGGGCTTGATGATCTTAGAGGTCTTTTCCAAAATTAACGATTCTATCATTCAGTGACCTCAATGTGCTGTATAGGAAAAAACTGTATTTTCTTCTTCACAAGCACAAGCCCCAGCGAAGCTTTGATGATCAATAGTGATTGACTTCAATAACTGTTAGTTAAAGCATTTACTGTGTGTACTGCAGAAACACTTGTATGACCTCCTCTGAATTGATTGAATATGCCACTGACTCAAACAGATCAGGATCCATATCCTTTTGCCTAGCAGTTGCGGAAGAAAACAGACCTTCCTAGGGAGAGACAAAACAGATAAGTCAGGAGACAGGCTTTCCCTTACAAAGCATTTACTTAATTTAAATCTGGGGTGAAAGTAAGGTTAATTATCATTATGCCAGCATTTTGTTTATGTGTACTTACACAAACAGATTGTGGTGTTTAATTGCACTGTACCTAATTTATTCAAATCTTATATAACAGGGGAACATGGAAGGTGTTTTTTTCAGAGAATGGTTCTTATCTCAGGAAAAACTGTCATATACAGATTCATATATGTGTGTATATACTTTTAGTATTTAGGTGGTATATATACTTTTGGTAAACACACACATCTGTATTGACAGTTGAGGAACTTTTACCTTATCTCAGCTTGAACTGAGAACACATACAGTCCAAGTCACTGATTTAAAGTTCTTTTCACCTCCCAAATCTCCGTTTGTCTGTCTGTAAAACTGCATTGCAGGTAGGCGTGGTCTTTCCACAACAACTTATGGAGCACTTGGGACCTATTTTAGCATCTGTGAATTACTACCTATAAAACTTAGCACATACTGAGGACATGCTTTTGGGGGAGAAAAGATTTACAAAATTGGACTGACACATCAACCATAATAAAACACAGCTGAGTAGTGAAATAGCAGATTGATACAGCCTCCTAGTTTTAACACCTATTATGAACAATCTCTGACAAATGCTAGAAAATACAGTGCAAAATACTAGGCAGTCTCCTGCTACATGAAGCTTGAGTACAAGGACACTGTTTAATAGTGGGCTCAAGCAGCTAAAGGCAAAGTGTTTTTGATAGTGTTGGCAAAACCAAGGCACTTTAAGACACTGCTCAAACAGAATGAGATTGCAGACACCTATTATAGTGCAAATTATCACTGCTGGTATCCCTGTGATAGCAGACTGAAAGATGCCAGCTATAAATGGAATTCCAGAATTTTTTCCAAGGCTTCATCCCCTCACAGATAGACAGGGAAATTATGGTAAAACCTTAGAGGCCAATTAAGTTAACAGACTGTTACTTGGAGCACAGGAAGCAGAATAAGGGTCTGTTCAGAATGTAGTTCTCCATAGGATATCACCAGTGGTTGCCTCTGCCACGTGGGTCCTTCTGTACTCCCCTGTGCCACTGCCTGTATCACCACAGTGAAGGCTGAACATGTAAAATTGAGCTGGCTAATTAATCACAAATCTTACTAAAACATTAACGAGAAAGAAAAGTCCTCGTGCCACTTTTCAAAAGTAATAGGCTGTGCCCATTTTATTCTACTTTTTCCCATCAATTATGAAGCAGTCATTATATAAAGGTTTGGAATGAACTAACTCGCCCTACTTCCCATTTATCTCAGTGTGATGCATTTACTGTGGAAATGTTTGATTACAAATAGATAATCCTGAAATTATAAAGGAAACTATTGTGGCTGTATTTTAAACACATATTTTACCTTTTCATGTCTCTAGGTACCTCTTCCATAATAATTTTCCCCCTTCTTGCGCAGGAATTTCCTTACGCAATTTACAAGTCTGTTTGGTATAATAAACCCTATTCATCTAAGATAAGTGCAGATAATATCAAATCTATTGTAATAATGAAATTGTGAGGAAAAAGAAAGGGGCAAAGGATTTTTATCAATCAAAGATGCTGAAGATTAAAAGTACATTCCCTTCACAGTAGGATCTCTGAATTCACCTAAAGGAGCCTTTGGGCTTTCCAGAAACCATTCATAATTAAAAGGCAACCCATCGCTTTCAGAGGAGGCTGCAAGACTGAACTACTTGCTTGATCTAATCTATAACATTTACCTACAGTGTAGGTATAAAGTTACCAATTCTGATTTCATTGTCAGCCCTAAGTTCTGTTAACTCACCTCAGCTTCAGTGAGAATGCTGACCACTGCTTAAGGTTTCAGCTACTGACTGAAGGATGTCTGGCCATCCATCTTGTTGATCCATCTTGTGCTTTTCTGAGATGTGCTTGGTCCTTCCTAGCTTTCAGTGAGGGCTGGAGGTCATCCCACAGTGGTGGCAGTCACAGCAGTAGTCTGATGTCACAGTTTATGTTTCTTGGCATTTTATATTTCACAATAACATTTGTGAAGTGAAAGAGTATAATACTTCCCTGGCACAGACAATTATTTAGATGCTGTGATATGTCTGGTTCTATAATGATTACCACCAGAAAGACAGATAATTTGACACCAAGAAGCAGGCAACAGAGTTATTTTAGTTACAGGGTGAACTCAGTACTCTGGAGAATGGTGTCTAGTGCAGAAGGACTTCAGAACTCTGACATGAGTACTTTAAAAGCAGACAAAGGAGCAAATACATAATGCATTTTATTAGGTACTTACATGTTAAATAGTTGCAGTATATTATTCTGAGACAAAGCTTTGGATTTATAAATTCTTTGGATTTATATATTTTTAAAGCTTTTTGATCTTACTTTTTATAATTAAAGCAATGAGGCCTAAATGCACATAATAGAAAGTGGCAGAACATGCCAACACACCTTTGGGAACGTGATTGTGTGCTGCTCCTTGCAGCTTTGTTTAGTCTCAGAAAATTAATGCTAACATTGATAAACAACACTCATAAATTCAGGTCAGATAGTGCTGCTTTGTTTCATTCAGAGAAAAAAATAATTTCAAAGATTTACTCTGCTATGCTCAGAAGCTTGAACACCCAGGGCACTCAGACAATGGCCATCAGGGTTTCATCAATGCATCATCAAATTAAGCTTTATTTTAATTCTAATTTACACATGTATGTGAAGTTCTGGTAAGAAATGAGTACAGCTTCATTTGACACTTTGGTATCTGTAAATAACAAGTGGATTTGTTTCTTGATAGCAGTATTGGTGACTTTTTTTAAAAAAAAATATTTATCCTCCTTTAGAAGTCACAGGGAGAAAATGTATAAATCTCTTATTTATTTTCAGGTCTATAAGGAACAGAGCACATGTTTCAAGATAAATAAATTTTGAATCACAAATGGATCTGACTGGGTAAACTCCTGAGACTTCTAACAAGATGCAGAGCATTTCACTCCTATGACACTGGTTTGAAATTAGCCCAGGTGAACAGAGAGCAGGAGTCATTTTCATCTAATGTCTGTTCAGCAGCCTACACAAAATGAGTTGCTGGGGTTTAATGCATGCATCTCCTTGGGGTCACACAGCTGCTTTTTATAAACCAACATTAATCAGTAGTCAGCCTGAATTATGAATATGCACAGACAAGCCAGCAGTAGTATGCAAAGTAATCCACATGGGAAAGGGACTACTCTGACTAAACATACACAGCAGTAGACTCCAAAGGATCTGCTGCAATTCAGGAGAAAAATCTTGATATCAGCACTGGTATTTCTTTGAAATCATCAACTCAAAGCTTGAAGCTCAAAAGCAATCAGAAAGGCAAACAGATGTTCAAAGTTATTAGGAAATATACAGAGAGAACAGGAAGTATCATCATTCCAATGATGTTAGTTCCACACCTGGAATATTATTTTCTTTTTTCATTGCCTCATCATAAAAATACTGGAGATCTAGAAGAGTTCTTAAGAACATTCCTAGAAAATACACAACAGCAATGATAATCTGAAGCTTGGCACAGACTGAAAATAGAGAAAAATTTAGTTAGACAAATCCTCAGTCTGAAGGAGGGTCAGAGAACAGGACATTTGAAAAAAAAAAAAAGTGATATCATGGATGGCATGAAGAGAGAGAACTGACATGTTTATTCATTTCTTCGACATAAGAGAAACTTGGAGGCATTAAATGAAATCACTAGGCAGCAGGTATAAAAGAAACAGATGCACTTTTCCATTCTATACGTAATTACATTATGGAACACATTGCCACAGGATGTTACAAAACCCAAATGTGTTTACAAAGTGGCTAGAGAGGTCCATGGAAGTAAGGGCCATCAAGGATAATTAACACAATGCAGTTGCAGTTGCTTGTACTGGAATGCCCAAGCTGCTGATTACAAGTAGCACAGAATATAAGCATGGAGAAGTGTATTTCTATGCTACCATTTCATTGTTATGGTTTCCAGCAAGATATTTCTCCCAGGCATCTACCATTAGCTCTGCCAAGAGAGGCTTCTAGGTTGAATGGTGTGGCTGTTTCTACAACAGTCTAAAAAGCACTACTTGCCTATTATTATTGTAAATATATTCAAAGCAAAGAACCAATTGTTTATTGTTGCAAACGTGCTTAAAAAGTATCCAGAATCTGATAAATCGTTAATTTAAAGGTGTTATGACATTTGAATCTCTAAATATTCAAAGTGAAAAATATACGGTGAACTTATTAGAGAAATAACATTGAGTTCAGGGGAAAATCTGTTTAATACTTCTGGAAAAAAAACAAAACCTCTTCATCATCTTGTACTTCATAGGAAAAATATTTGTTTCAAATTTAACTCTACAAATGCTGATATTTTATAAATTCCTGAAGAATGAAAGGCCTCATTTCAGATTATCTCCTGTAGTATTATATTGTAATTTAGAGATGGATATGAAGTTCTATTCACACTGAAATTATCCTGTTCTTTATATAAATTGGAATTGTGTATTATAACATTTTTTTACCCTGTATTTTCAAAAGGAGAATTTCTGTCTATATTTTTTATAGAGGAATTTGCTATTTTCTGTGTCCGTGGAATCAGCTATGCACATACATATTATATATTCATTCTGTAATTACTTTCCCTGGACTTTGTAGTTTCTCAGCATTAAAAACCATAACAATTATTTTTATTTCTTTGTGTGCTCTTGTACATGTGTCATATATAAAACATAACCATTTAGCATGTTCTTCTCTTAAATCAGTTGGTTGTGTTTTCAAAGAATTTTAAAGCATCTTGCATAAAAATATCTTCATTTTCCTTCAACAGAAAGGACATCGCAATAAAAGTTACATAGGGGTCAAGACAATGTCTGGAGGAACAGGAGGAGTTTTGTAAGTCATTTAATTCTCCAGCACCCTTCTGCATGAGGACTACAAACATTCATATATATATATATATATATATTACAGTTTTTCTCAAAATCTTAAGAAATATAGAATAATAGTCAAAGTTGAAATGTGCAGAGGAATATTTGCCTATCTATATGTTTAGCTTAGGAATGCTTAACATTCCATACCCAAAATTTTCAAAGGAAAAGAAGGAAAAATACAGAAGTTTCACATGTTGGCACTAGTAGAACAGAGCATCAGTAGAATTTGCCATTACTATAGTAATCAAATTTGAACGTCTGGATCATTATCACACATAATGGATGGGAAATTTTTTAAACATTATTTCTTTTAATTTGATTTGAAGTACTGTTATGCATCATGAAAAGGGATTTTTGAACCTGAAATCTGAACTCATCAGTCACTGAGAGCTGCTTATCCGGGCTATTAAAATCATTTTAAGTACATGTCTGGTTAAATTCAAAGCTAAAATGGAGATTTTAAATCTCCTAGCTGTCAAAAAACAAGGGAACATAACCATATTTATCAAAGCTCACAAAAAAAAATAGAGGATCAGTACCAAACTGAAGGCCCTTCCCATAACAATGAGAAGCCACTGACAACTGATAAAACCACTTTAAAGCTTCCACACTGGGGAATTAAGTCCTAGCTCAAGTGAAGGAGTAGAAACTTTAGACTGACTTTAGATAGCTTAATGAACAAAGAGTAACACAATAGAGATTAGTTAAACAGCACTATCCCTTCTAAAAATGGAGATATCTTCAGTTATCTTCCCAAACAAATACTGAGATTAAATTGTTTTAGAAAATGATAAGGTATACTTGAAAATTTTGTGCCATCTTCAAGGAAAAAGATCCAATCAAGTTGACTGTGGTGTGAAAGTTAACTTCTACAGAAATGCCCTTTAAAACTCCAGTCACCAGAGGCTGCAGATCTTAAAAAAGAGAATGCAGATGTTAACGATGTGAAGATGTCATATAATCTTAACCAACAGATAATGAAGATTGTACAATACCCCAAAAAAAGCACAAGTCTGTGTGGAACAGTTTTTTATTAGTCAGTGTTCTACAATCACTGCCTCTCCTTTTGTGACCATATTATCTCCCTCCATAAAATATACTTGAAAACAAATCCCATTCTGTATTTACTTGTGTTTGATTAAATTATTTCTTCACTTGTCATAGGATAAATTTTTCTGGATCTTCTATTACGACCATATTTATCTAGCAGACTAACTGAATAATTCATATAAATAATGCAGCTTATTTCCTGGCTTTGCCTTTTGAAAGACAGAAAATCTCACCTCATAGGCTTTAGGAAATCATGAAGATAGCAAAACTAAATAAATAAAAACATCACTATTCCACTCAATATAACCCTCTTGCTGATGTGCAAGGACACTCAATGAAGAGGAACATATGGTAATGGGACAAGGGGGAATGCCTTTAAACTGAAAGATTAGATGCTGGATTTAGGTTAGACGTGTCCAAGATTGGATAGGGCTTTGAGCAACCTGGTGTGGTGGAAAGTGTCCCTGCCCATTGCAGGGGGGCTGGAACTAGGTAACCTTTAGGATCCCTTCCAACCCAAACCATTCTCTGATTCTATGATAAGCACAGAGCTCTGGTTTTGAGACCTGAGCTTCTGAAAATGAACAATGCAGCCCAACATCTACATGTGTGACTATGGAACTACATCAGTATGCGAGTCTTCTTATATTTCCATAATTTTTTGCCTTCGGTTAATTAAGTTCTCTGTAGAATGTCTGACTATAGCAAGATAATCTCTACTTTGCAAAGATTAACCCCATTAATACCAATTAACACATAACAAAGAAGGCTTTTAATGTTTTACAGTGGCGGGCTAAGGAGGATGGTTCTGAGGAGGATTAGAGGGGATCACTTGTATCTGTAATTTATGACATCTCATTAAATAGTTTATAATAACCATCAAACATTTTATAGGGATGAAGTTGTAAATGTTTAAGCAGTGGGATCCATTACTGCAGTAAAGAAGAGGAATTGTT